TCCTGTAAGCAGATGACGGCTGGATACAGTAGTGACATAAGTATGAGTAGGTCATTGTAATTAGATTTTATTCCACGACAGTTCCATTGCAGGATCTTATGTGCCATGGTTATATTTTCATTTTTTGGGGGTAAAGTTACCTACTAGGTTTATATCATTTGTCCTCTCCAGTTTTTTTCCATCTCTTGAGTTTTTAGAAGCTTTGTCTTCAACTGCTTGTGGTGTCCTTCGGTCAGATTTTTGGTTTTGTTTTGAATTTTGTTTACTTTCTTTCTCTTCTATTTCCATATATTCCATAGGCTCAAATTTATTTTCATTTGATATATTGATTTTGAGTTAGATCTTGATCGAGTGCTTTCTTGTTCTGTTGTCACTTTTTTGTCTTTTTGTTTATTTTTCATTTTCTTAGTTTGGGTTTGGGAAGAAGAGGGTTCGCTGGAGTTTTGTTCTGTGTTTTCTTTCCAAAATTGTTTGCCTTCTTCTGGGTTTATTCCATTTGATCTGGGTTGTTGAGTTTTATTTTGATCCGATTTAAGTTCGTTTAAAAAGGTTTTTAATTCTTCAAGGAAAGCTTTTAATTCCTTGCATAAATTTGTTATTTCAATTGAACTGTTTATTTTATCTTCATTGTTTATTTTATTTGCTTTTTGTGCCATGGAAGCATAGGTGTTTTCTTTTATGTTATTTTTAACTTCCTTTCGTGCTTCTATGAAAGATATATTTTTTTTGTATTTTATTCTAATTATTTCTTTCTCCTGTTTATATATACTGCATTGTTTTGAGAGGGCAGAGTGGTTTGGGCAGTCCTCTTCTTTATGTTCTGGTTCTTTCTCACTACATTTTCCACATATTTTTTTTATTTCTACAGGAATCTCTGTGATGCCCAAATTTGTGGCATCTGTAGCATTGAAGAGGGTTTGGTACATATTATTCTACTTTTATATTTTCATATCCAATTTTAATTGTTGTCAGAATTTGGGGGGAGTTGAAAGTTAGAATGTAGGTATTAGTTTGTATCTCTGCTTCATTTTTCTTTATTGTTATTCTTTTGACATTTGTAACTCCTTGAGTTTGGAGTTCTATTTTTATCTCCTCTAGAGTGCACAGGGAGAGCTCCTTGCTTTTTACTACTCCCTTTTGAGAAATTTAGGGTTTGGTGTGAGTAGGATTTTTATTTCTATTTCTTGTAGTTTTTTTTGTCTTATTAATGTGTCCGCATATATCTTTTTTTCCACTTCTACTAGTAGTGTTCCATTTTGTAATTTTTTCACATTTTTTGGTATAATGATATTTGATATTGCTTTTTGTATTTTAAACGGAGAAATCTCTGTTAATGCTTTTTTGCTTATTGTTTGAGCACTATAAATCGTGGAAAGTTTTCACTATCATTTTCTGTTTTTTTTTTTCGTTATCCACATGTGGTCCCTTGAAGATTTTTTTTTTTTTTTCCATTGTTTTTATTTTTGTTCATCATTCTCGCCCCTACCCACCGCATGAGTCCAGTATTGGGACATGATAGTAGGGAAACCATTCACCTTTGCCATGTCGAGGTTGTGAATGATATACTCTCTTTGGGAGGAGTCTTTGAGCACGATGTTCCTTTGTTTCCGTTTTCCAAGTATTACGGCTGTGAAGGTTTAGCAAGTGTGTCAGATCCTTTTTTTCTCCCCAAATTGATTGACCTCAGCCACCGCCTTCCATCACATATTTAGGGTTATGTTAGTTTTGGTTGGGAAGAGCTGTGTCAGTTATAGGTTTGGGGTGGATTATATATGATGGGGCTTGACATGACCAGCCGATTGATCGGATCGGCCCCTCCGACCGCCTGTTTAGCCCAGGTAAGGGCCAAAGTGGTGTGTTACAGGATTGTGACCGTTACACCCGGGTTACAACCTGCTCAACCACCAGGATCCCATCCCAGACATTACAAAGGTCGCCACCCACGGCCAACAGGTGGCCCCATTGAGGACTTTACCTCTGTAAGGTAAGAAGTCGGCATATTCTGATGCCCCACCGGGCGGCACCTGCTGGGTAGACTGTCACACAAAGAAAGAATTCTGGTGATAAAGTGAAGGCATGCAATCATACTCTCCCTGCTAAGTATAATGCTTATATTTTTTGTAACTATTTTTATATCTACCATGAAACATTTCATGCCAATTACTTGCAAATTTTGAATCAAGAGCTCAGGCAAAAGGGTTAAAATTTTTCAGGAATGCAGAGCTTGTAGGGTTAAGTATCGGTGTTTTGTGGGGATTTAAGTCTACAACTGCTTTGAATAGAGAAACAAAAATTTTATCAATGATTTTAGATAGTCATAAAAGAAGTCTTTTGAAGATTTGACCACCTATGTGGTTTTGGGATGGTCTCAAAATTTTCGGATGGGACCCTAGGATTATTCATATAAGCAGAGAGAGGCAGGATGTAGGGGGAAAGCGAGTTCAGCAGTGAGAGAAGTAGGTAGGTGACCAGAGAAGTAGGTAGGTGACCAGAGAAGTTAGAGCTGCCCAGCAGCCAGTGATAGGAAGACTGGTAGTGAGGAATCAGGAGTCACCAAGCCCTGAGGCCAGTAAAGTTAGGTAGATAGCAGTTCAGCCAAAAGAAAAGATAACAGGCTTAAGTGAGAAATTGCATTGTTGTGAACTCCCAAACAGTGTCTTTAAAAACTGGTCATCACTAGTATGATTTATTGAAAGCGATCATGGCTGAGAAGAAAATCCTGTGCACATAGAGAGCTGGGTGTATATTGCAAATACACTCAACCTTGGATGTGAACAACTGACAATCAAAGAACATTGTCACAATTCCCCCATGAATGGTGACACACAAGGTTAACACTTAAAGGACCCAATTTTAAAGACAACTGATGGCAGATAATTTACCAGAGTATAAGTAACAAAAAGGTAACTATTTAAACATTCTTAAAGTAACATGAAAATATTTTTAATACATTCATTCATGCATATAATTTGTTTTTTTTTTTAAATTGTAATAAAATATGCACAATTGCAATTTTACTTAATACTTGAATTGTGATCTCAAGCTCCTTTTATATTTTTCAGTTAGCCATTGCCTTATATCTAATCTTCACAAAGCAAAAATGAAGATATTAACAATGAGGCGGTTAGCATTTATCTTCTACATCTCGTGAAATTAGTAAATATAAAATTAAATTTGAACAGTTACATTTTGCTATTTTGTCTTACCTCTATCTTAAAGATTAGAGAAAAATTCTGTTAGTAGAAAGGAAAAATGAACATTACATTTAATAGCAATTTCTAAGAAATATTTAGAAATAAAATAATTTATTCACAAACTTCAGAATATATCATGTCCTCGCAACTCCAACACAAAAAGCAGTTTGCTTTTATATATTTGTGGTCAAATGTAATATACCATTAAGTAAAATATTAACATATTGTTAGAGAGAAAATTTTGGTTGTCTGTCCCAAGATAAAGTACAAAGTAAAATTTCTTACTTTCCTCAATAAAGGTGTGTATGTGGGTTCCAGCTGACAATTCTTTCATAAGTATCATCAAACCCCCAACCCAACAATTTTACTGCACAATTAACAGAAATGATGAAACTTAAATCATCAGAGTCAAAACAACTGTTGAAAAAAAAAAAAAAAATATCAACTCTAGAGCATACAACCCCCCCCCAAAAAACTCACTTTCACACACAAAGTTAATGATAAATTGTAGGTAATATAAAAACCTTTAATATTAACATTTAATTAGAAAGACCTGTTATAAATTTTTCATGGTTTTCCTATTTGAATCTTCTGATGAATCTTAATTCTTAAGTTAATGATTGAGTAAGTTCATCATATGTTCTATGACAATAAAATATCCGTAGAAATTCCTCTATCACATCATTAAATATTCAAGTTAAACAACTTTAACAAAATATTGCAATAACAACCATAAAATGTGAATGTTGGTCATTATTTTAAGCAGCTAAAAATAAAAAGTTTAGAAATTGACAAATTTTCCATTTCACTAAAATAGCCAATAAATACACTGAAACCAAGTCTGTCTTGTTTCTCTATGCAATTAAAATGGAAGAGCCCATTATTTATGAGATATTGACAGGAGATGTTAAAGATTTCTCTCAGGCCAAATCCTAGTCTTACAAACATTCCCTTAATAATAATTTAGAAATAATTCAGCAGATGAAGTTATTTTATTTATGGTAACTAGATTTTTGGTGATTGCCTTACTCAGTTTCCATCATTTGATAATGTGCATCTGAAAAATGACACTAATGGCTAGGATCAAAGTGTAGTAAATGTTCTAATCAGCTCAATTTAATTTTCTTTCCCCACTTCTATCTTCCCACTGAAACCAAGTAGTGTCTTTTCCGTTCTATTCCGTTCAAAACAGAACAGTCCATTATTTATGGAGGTATTTGCAGGATGTAACAGTCATACAAACTAACAAAGGGAAGGGGACAAGCATAATTATAATAGGATGATTGAATAATATAAAAACTTCAGAAATAGTAATTTTTGACTTAAGAAATTCCTTGAACATTTCCAATTTGTATTGATATAATTCTTTTTAAGGATGAGGAGACCCTTGAACAATTGTTAATCAATTTTTTATGACTTATCAAACCTTTGTGGGTTATTTAAAACAGAAAAATACTTTGGATCATAAAAATGTTTTGTGAAAGAATATTGAATTAACAATTTTTGAGAACAACAATGATTTTTTTCAGATACAAAACCTACTGTTTAACCAATAGTTGGAGGAGGAGATGTATTCATACCTTTCCCATGGGTATGTGTGTGTAAATGAATACAATGAACCAGACTGAGATTTGAATTTGGCTCGACAGTTTCTCATTCCAAGCCATTATCCATTACGCCAACTACACATTCACTGAAAATTTGCTAAAGTAAAAACAAGATAAGTAAGTTATAGGAAAGCAGCTACAAAAACAGTAACCAACATCTACATTAGAATAATTGCAACTATTTCATAAACTTACACTATTAGTCAACAGCATCCTTAATGTGACTTTTCAGGTGTTTCATCATGCCAAATGTCCGCACCCGTTTTCGACCTGCAAAAGAGTATTAAAAAAAAAAACAATTTAGCAGTGGCAATACAATCTGACTCCCATTAAGCAAAATATCAACAGTGTAATATCTTTAATTAAAAGTGAGTGCTGAGGTGTTATAAAATAAAATAAGACATATCTCGGCTGATTTACAGGCAAATACTCAAGAGCGAGAGCCGGATGTGAACGGGACAAAGCCCCGTCACAAAATGACCATTATCTTCGTTTACAAATTTTCCCAACACACGAGTTCCGGTTGAAAAATAAAATAATATTTAAAGTGTTCTATTTTTCGTCCAATAAAAATGCTTCCTTCCTAATTATACTCGCTTCGTTTTTCGAGCCTGTTAAGCCATAAACAACGCTATAAAAGGGGTCACATGGAAGTTCAACAAGCAGTCCACAGGTGGCCAGGGAACAGACCTGTCACGGTCAGTAGCTGTCAGCAGAGGAGCATCAACCACCGTCAACATGTGTGAACTACTATGAGAGATCGACCTAGATCCGAAGCCGGCTTATGAACTATACCATAAGGTAGCTGTCCCAAACCCTCACGTTCCTGTTGAAATAAACCACGTAAATCTATTTCTGCTGTTGTCATATTTCTTTCTTGCAACCATACGCTTGTCTATAACAGAGGCAAATTTTCTTGTTTTTTTTTTTTTTTGTTTTTTTTTCCTACATACTTGTGAAAGATTGCCCTTGTCAGCCACCAATCAAGTTTCAATGGCTAAGGCAGTACTGTCACCCCTGGTGCCACCAACAGCTTTTGCCACTGGACAGGGTATTGTTTTTTGTGTAGACATGTCAGTCTCTGTGATTTTTATACAACTGCAAATCAGATTTTCAACATGTTCAAAGCATTTGCTTTTGATTGTTAAACAAAACACAGCAAGCCTGTAGCAACTGTTATCAATGACATAGAATGGAAGGTAAACAGATGTGTTTCACATCGAAAGTAGCATTATGTTGTGAGCATGGTTTTAATTAACTTTGTTTATTTTGGATCTTGATCAGATCCAACTTGATGTCTGGAGACAATGTGAAGTTCTCTTCAGGCACTGGCCAGTGATACCCATCTTCAAAAGGAAGGAAACAACTGACCGTCCAAGGAATCCACGGAAATAGGTAGCACATGGCATGTACAGCACTTTTCCATGTAGTCGTATCACAGCAATTGGTAGTGTTTTTTTCTTTTGCTGGTGCACTTCGTCTCAGGGAGGAGGTGCATGACACAAATGTAGTGCCGAGATAATATTGGCATAAAGTAGATTTTGAATGAAATGTAAAGTCTTACTCAAACTTAGCTTTTAAAAATGTTAGTTTTTTTTCTTCATTAATTTCTCAAATCTGTTTTGAGCAGACACTTCTTGTTTTGGATTGGTATTACAGGCATAGTTTGTGATTAATGTCATCCTGGGGAACAATAGAACATAAGTTTGGAACAGCCAGTTAGACATCTCATCGTGATTGGTAATGATTAAGTGGGCAAGTGATGGTGGGAGAGAGACTGGGCTTGGAGAGAGAGAGGATTAACTAGCTGGTAGCAGAGCCAAGTTGAAAATAATATTGATTAATTAATCTGCTACTCTTAGTATCAGAAAAATATGCTTCATGGCAGAAAGAAAATGATACAGTGGAAAATAGTTACCATGTTGGAAAAGCTGAAAGTGTCTTACACTTTCTAACACTGACAGGAAAAGCTAAAGAATCAATCATGGAGCTGGAGCTAGACTTAAACCTGGAATATGATTTAGTGAAAGTTTCTGCAAAACTTGGCTCAATCTTCTGGGATAGGATGTAACGAGCATGCGCGGAAGTGTCCTCGAACTGTGTGTGTGTGTGTGTGTGTTTTTGCCGGGCACACCTTGGAGTACCATAATGGACTCGACCGAGGACTACAAGAAGAAGACGCGCGAGTCATTTTGTGTCTTTTTTTTTGGTGACAAAAGCCGTTGGGGTCGGTCAGTCGGTTGTCCATTCGTCAGCAGGAGTCGTGGGTGCCGTTTACTGTTGTAAAGTGTTCGTTCAGAAGAAAAGGCGTTTGTTTCAGGTTTGCAAGAAGGCGGTCATTTTTTTGTTTCGCAAGAAGTGCCAATCTCCTCCCCAAAACCCTTGTAAATGGCACATTACCTGTAGTGACAGTTCGTATCAATGGAATACCACATACAGCTCTGGTGGATACAGGATGCACAGAGTCACTAGTCCGCAAGTCATGCTGTCGAGCATGGACAAGAAAATCAACACACATGCTTACAGTACATGGAGGTGCACTTGACTGCTGTGGAATCGGAGTGGTACATTGGTGCAAAGCCGTCCATCGCTATGGAAGCCCTAGTCGTGGACGAAGACCTGCTTGGATTCGACTTGCTGCTCGGACTAGGCGCCATCAAACAGTTGGGAGAATATCTGTAACTGGCGCTGGTGAAGTTAAGTTTCCACAGTGTGTCGAACCAGTCGTTGCTGCCATCACCATTACCGAGCCTGACCACTCGTAGAATACGATGAGACCACTTGGAGGTGGACAGCATCTTGGAAATGGGCTGGCAACCAACCTCCAGGTATGTTAAGAAATAGACTGGCAGAATATCCAGCTCCCGCACAAATTCGGGAGGAGTATGATCGGGAACTACAGATGTGGATAGATAACGGCTGGAGTTGGCCTTAGAACACGAGCTGGACATTGATGTAGAGTTTGTCAAGTCGTGCAACAATCAAGCCGACCAACTTACTAGAGTAGAGCAATGGTTAAATGAAATGCGCAAAATAACGGAACCCAGAGAACCTATGTGCGGTGTAGCTGAAAAGTGAGATGTTGCTCAAGTACGAACCATTCATCAATCCAGCGGACACCCTGGTGTGAAGAGAAAACTATTTTGTGAAGTTGATCGACCCAAGAGTAACAAAAGTGAGCAGTGGTTAGGGGATGCCAGTCAGTTGACCCGGCCCCAGTGTGTTGGAAACCAGGCAGGCTTGATGTCGCCGAAAATTGGCACAGGGTTGCGATGGATGTAACCCATTTCGGACATCAACTATACCTGATGCTGATAGACTGCGGCCACTGTCGTTTTGTCATTTGGAAGCCCTTGCACCGCCAAGACTCTGCTAGCATCATTGCAAGTTGGAAGTAGTGTTTTGTGAAAGAGGGTCGCTGAGTGAGCTGCTTACGGATAATGGCACAGTGTTTTGTGGTGAGAGGTTTGCCACTTTTACAAAGATGTGGAATGTGCAAATACTATTTCGCTGTGCCAACATACCATCAGGGAATGGGAGAATTGAGAGATCCCATTGTACAATAAAGCGCATTGCAACGAGAACACAGTGTTCAGTTTTGGAAGCTGTATATTGGCACAACACTACCCCAAAGGATAATAAAACAGCTTCAACTGCACCGGCGAATGCAACCTACACCTACAGGTTCCGCATTAAGGGTATCAATGCAGCTTTGGTGCGTGACAACAGTTGCCAAACCTTATACAGTAGGAGAGACTGTCTGGGTGAAAAATCCACATGGAAGGTGTACGACGGTTCAACAAGAGTACGGTGACACAAATTAATAGTCCACACTCCGTCTCTGTTGCTAGAATACTGCGCTACATAAAAGATGTGCGTCCAGCGTGTAGGAAGGATTATTCTGTCAGTGACCATGTTAGTACTTCAGATGATGATGAAGCCCTGATGGTATATATAAAATCACAGGAAGAGCACACCTCAGAGAGTAGTACGCCTGATGAACCTATGCTGGATGAGCTTAGTGAGACATCTGAAGAGAGCACCACCGAGGAAGCGCTTGAGACCATACCACTGAGACAGAGCACCAGCCATTTGTGTGATCTCGAGATCAGGGAGGAGTGTAATGAGCATCCGTGGAAGCGTCCTCGAACTGTGTGTGTGTGTGTGTGTGTGTATTTTCACCGGGCACACCTTGGAGTACCATAATGGACTTGACCAAGGACTACAAGAAGACGCACGAGTCGTTTGGTGTCTTTTTTTTTGGGCGACAAAAGCCGTTGCGGTCGGTAGCAATCGTGGGTGCTGTTTGCTGTTGCAAAGTGTTTGTTTGGAAGAGAAGGCAGTCGTTTTTTCCCCCCCCCCCGTTTTCTCACGCACATTGTAGCATTGTTGACATTTGAAGAATTTGAAAATTATGTCAGATCTAAAGATACACCATTATTATCTTAGTGATTATTATTGATGGCCAAATTGAATGACAAAAAAACAGCGTCAGTACATAGAGACTTAAAAAACACCAACATATCAAGAAATAATGAAAGATGGTGACAGAATTGACATCAAACCCTAGTCAATACAGTTAATAAAGATAATGAAAAATCTCATCTTTTCAAGAAACTCTGCAATAGTTAAAAGAATCTAAAAGCCTACTAATATGAGAGAAGACATTAATTTGAAAGAACAGGTGTCCATAGGACTAATGGACATTTGCAAGTCAGTGAGCAAAATATCAGAGAAGACATGATCAGGATGACAAAGCCTCAAGTTTCTTCATATGCAATTTTTCACTGGGCAAGGTCTTGTCAGCATGCTGAAGCAAATTTTAAATCATGAATGCACACTCTACAGCACTGGCTGTGTATTAATAAACAAAAGCACTACATTACTGTGTCAAACCATTGTAGTTTTTTTTTTTTTTTTTTTATAAACTTTACCAAAAGTTAGAAATCAAGTAAAAGTAACAGAGCAGGTAAATAAATGTAAATTTGGTAGTGGTAAAGAATTAACATTAGTAAAATATGTCACCTTGTGTTATATGTTTACCTTGTGTTATAAAAAAAAAAAAAAAAAAAAAATAGGGAGGTGACTATAAACAGCAGCATAGCTAAAAACAAAATACCACTGTTAAATTAAACTGGGGACATAACGTCTAGTTTCACTCCTAAGCACCCAGACTTTGGTCATAATCCTAACCTTGCCAATAATTTGGTTAACCACTCTCCTGCTTTAGAGAGGCTTACAAATAGTGAAACTGTAATGGATAATTTAAAATGTAATGCACACAGAAATGAAATATCAGAAAAATTCAGAAAGATACTTTGACACTGGCTGAGACTGAGTTTAGTATGTATCTACAACAATGTAGATTTCGTATATTGTAAAAGAAACAACTTCAATAGATGGATAGGTCCTGGGTCTGATATGATGGGAGAATCAACAAGTCCTTGTCAAATAGTGATTGGCTCATATGGTAGAATGCACTGCTGTTGCCTACACAGTTTTGTCACATGGAATAAAAATTCTTATTGTTTTAATATATACATAGCAAATATTAAAGTTGGTACTGTCACTCAACAAAAATGATTTTACAAAAACAGAATTTGATTTTAGTGAGTTTTCTAATACTGTTAATGGAAAACAGATGAAAATGAGCCATCCATACCTGAAATAAGAGTGTGTTTACCTACAAATACAGTGAGGGAAAATGAGACTCACGAAACCTAAACCAGTTATCATTAAATGCAAACAGTGTTAAATCTGAATGGAAGAAACCTTAAGTTATAAATAAGGCTGAAAAGGCAACAGGTACAAAATAAATGTTTCATATGAAAAAGGTGTATTGAATTGTAAACAGACAAACAGCCTAACAATTAAGAGGGCTTAGAAAAGGAGGAAGAAGCAAATGTGATTATTTTTAATGTCATATATATATGATGAGAAAGACAATGAAGCAGCCAAACAAAAAGTTAAAAAAAAAAAAAAAAAAAAAAAAAAACCAGGTATAGGTTAAAATTTCAGACAAAGGACAAATTAGGGTGTCAACAAGATGGTTTTACAGTGAGAGAAACACAATAAAAGGTTAGTAGCAAAAGGTTCTCAAGATCCCAGGGAAGACTTTATTATAACTGCCCTAATGGAAGGTCGATGCATGACTTTAGCAATTACAACCTCTTTTGGAGGAAACATTATTTAATGGATAATAAAAATGCTTTTTCCCAGAGCAAACATTTTGAAAGTGTGTACTTACTGCCTTTACCAAAGTCTGAGGTTTGACATGGAAAGATTTGGAAACTTAAATGCATTTATGACTAACAATGGGACTAGATTGTGGCATTTCACAGTAAAACAAATGCTGAACAAATTGGGAGCAGTTATGCCTGCCAATAATGAAGCCTGATTCACATGGTGTGTTGATGAGTCTAAACAGCTGCATGAAATACACTGACAACTGTTGGGCAGTATCAAAGCTTTTTCAACAGCATGTTATAGATGGCATTAGAAAACTTTTTAAAGTCAAAACTGAAGCAGATACTAACCTTAAGTACATGGGCCTAAAATTACCAACTGCTAAGCAAATGCCATATAGCAAAAACATTTTTAGCATTAATTGTAATCTTTGAAATTTAATTTATGAAAAAAGAAAATGCCACAACAGATATTGATTTAGATAAATCTAGTTTTCTTTCTTCCCACTAAAAAAAAAAAAAAAAAAAAAAGAAAAATTATAAGAAATTAAATTTTCTAAAAAGAATTAAAAGTAAATTTTCAAATTATATTTACCAAACACCCTCTGTAATTGTTCATCACAAAGCATGAATTGTTTATTTTTGGGATCCTGCAAAAAAAAAAAAAATAAAAAATAAAAAAAAATAAAAAAAAATAAAAATACAATTACATCAGTAGAACAATTTATATTTAATTTTTTTTAAATCTCTGAACGTATACATGGACAAGATTTTCTGGGAATTAGAAAAGGAAATCATATCCCAAAGTAAGGGTATGGGTTCAAATCTTTAATGTAAACCACACATGATCAATTCACAAATAGTCACAATCATTATATATATATATATATATATATATATATATATACATACACGTGTGTGTGTGTGTGTGTGTATGAATAAAGACAAAGAAAGCTTACCTTAGCTGATGCATTTCAACCTCTGAGGGACTTTATCAAGACAAGTGCAAGGATTTTATTTTGTAACAATTTTATATAAAAAGGAAAAATGTTATTGTTTTTTTCAAAATTTTTAAATTTAAGAAAGCTTATAAATATTCATCAAGTTAACTGAAAAGTCTATGCAAGCTATGGAGGACATTAAATGACAATTCAATGTCTAATAAATGAAAGTTTGTAAAGGATGTTGGAAAAAAAATTATGAAAATTAGTATTAAATTATTTTAGTTTGGGATTAATTTATGCATTATATAGTTTAAAATAACACGAGGTTATGAATTTAACTGCTTTCTTTTAATATTTTAACATTTTTATAGTCATGTATGTTGACTTAAGAAAAAAGTTCAAGTACATTTGTGTAGAAATTTCTTTAAATGTAAAAGACAAATCCTGGACTGTTACTGATAAAGCCTTTTTGTTAAACCTGTTCATAAATATCTGTAAATTATCAGCTGTATATAAACACTTTCTAAGATCAATGGTTAAAAAATGGCTTTGAGCAAGTGAAGCCTGTGTATCTTAGAGGTTCACAAAGAACTGTACCAAATAACAGAAAGCACATCAATTGAAGACTTTGAACAAATCAACAAATAAAGTGAACAGCACATGTAACTGGAAGAGAAAATAGTGGCATAACCAAGATGTTGATATTCCACACAACTTCAAATAAAAGGATAGGATGGAATCCTCCATCAATACTAGAAAGAGCAAAGACAGCTATGTAACTTGAGAAATGTATTTTCCTGAAAAATTGTTTTAAGAGAAGGATTTTATAAATTTCAACCAACAATAGTACTGGCTGCTCAACCAATAAATGCTGAATGTTTTCTTATAAGGAAACAGCTAATATTACCATCCCTAACAAAGTGTTAAAAAAAAAAAAAAAAAACAATAGCTTTACACATCAAGAACATGAGTGTATTCATAAAAGCCTTTTATTTTGAAAAAAAAACTATATATATATATATATATATATATATATATATATATTAAATTTTATATATAATTTTTATATTTTTAGCATATCTTTTTTATATTTACTCAATGAAATAAATGAATTCTGAAAAAGCAAGTACTTATTTGCATCATTTAGCAATTACACTTTACTACAGCCATTCATTTAAGCCCAAAACAAATTACAAAAAACTTCAAAAGAGGAGAGAGCATACTAAATAGTTAAAATGATTTATATTCTACCAAATCTCAGATCAATTGATTTGTTGTTGATTGTAGGGTTTAAAGGCATATCAACCTTCATTAGGTTATTTCATACCAAATAAGATTTGATTGAGCATCATGGTTTGTGTATAATATTTTAATATCATTTAGTTGAAAGTGATAGCCTTTGTAAAATTTAAAGTTAATGACTTTGGTATGAAGTTCAGTTGGAGATTATTTTATTCATTTACTTATTTTTTCAATATTAGCTATTGCTTAAATTCTTTTAATATATTTTTCTTTATAAAATTTACTTATTTTATTTGGATCAATCCTGTCGAGTTTATTCATGTTGTTTGCTTGATAATACTTTTCATGGTCCTAACTTAAATCTATACATTTTATAAGTATATTTTCCACTCTATATTGTTTATTACATGTATAGCACATAGGTGGATCTTCCTTTTTTTTTTTTTTTTTTAGTACATAGCTGTGGGTAATGTAAGTGTGGTCAAGACAGAGTCAAGCTAGTACCAATTCTTCTCTTATTTTTCTATAACCACTTTGCCATTCTTTGATATCTGGTTGGATTCCATAGAGTTTATTATTTATGCACTTGTTCATTTTTTTTCACATTTGTCCATGATGAATCTTCTGATAATCAGATCAATTGAAGAAAATAGTTAAAAATTTGAAACTTACCTCTAATTTCCTTTCTCGGACAATTTCCCACATTCTTTTAACAACGTCTTTTCTTGCCATCTAAAATGATGGAACAAAACTTATATAAGCTTTTCCTTTAATATTAAAATATGTTACAAACCAAGAAAATATCCTATACATAAGCTTTTATGGCCAGGCAGAATTTTTATTTATTTTCTATCAAGTTTTTGTTTTTGTCCTATTGAAAGCTATTACTTTATTATTTACTTCTGTTATTTAGCAAAGAAAAGATAAAAAAAACTATCTCAGAATCTAAATGCATGAGAATATTTTCTGCCAAAACATGAATGTATATATTCATAAAGAGAAATTTTTCCTTTGTTTTGCTGATTTTATATTTTATGACTACAAAATCTTCAAAGAAACCATGTACCATTCAAATTAGAATAATTTTACTCAGTAAGTAGAATTTATTTTAAAATATTTGAGAAAAGAGTGATTCTATAAGCAAAACCTAAATTCCTCAAGAAATTAAGAGAAAATTTGGCAGAGTAATACAATCAGAACTTTAAGAGGGGAAAAAAGTAAAAATCACATAACTTTAATGAAAATGCCCAGTAAACATTTTAATATTAACCAAGAAATCAATGAAGTAACTTTAAAATATTTTTTCATTCAAATAAAATATACAAAATTTTACAAAGATACTTAAGATTATTTAAAAAGGGAAATATCTGGATATTGTAAAAATATAGCCTAAATTTAATTAAAATATGTTGGTACTACAATACAAATTAGAAATATTGTATAAAAAAAAAAAAAAAAAAGAAATTATTGAATATTTAATTTACTCAGTCACAAAATAGTTCCTACTTTTCAAAATCTGACCAATCGTTATGCTTGGAGGGGCTTGGAGAAAGGGTTTTTTGTCAGGCTGAGAACTTTTTTAGTATCCCACCCCCATAGTTACCATATATACTCATGCAACTTTTGAAGACCTAATTTTGAAGCTAAATTTAAGGGGGTCACATCATACACGAGATATAAAATTAGCATATGTACTGATGGCCATGACTACGCTGTTGACCAAACTATATATACATTTACTGTAGCCAAATTAGCTTCAAAATTAGGTCTTCAAAGGTCACATAATATGCGAGTATATATGGCATATACAATAATTCTCTATGCCATTTTGCTGCATATTTTAATATGCAGCAAAAAAATAAAAAACCTTCAAGATTTAAAATCATACAGTAAATTATTTTATCTTTTGTTACTCATTCATACTCAAAATTTGTCAATTTCTTCAACATAATCAAGCAGTTACTTTAAAATTAAAAAAAAATAAATAAAATGCAAATTGTTAGCAAATTATGCCCTTATTAAATATTTTTATATCATTCAAACTCTACATACTATTTTTCACAAAAAAAAGTTTTTATTAGATACATAAAAGATTCTCTGCATATCTAAAATGATTTTTCTACTTTTTATTCAACTTTGTTTTTATGACTATAATTCCTTAAATGTAAAAGGATCTTTACTTTGATATTAAACCTGTCTATGCCAATCATTTTTAGTTTTTGTCAGAGTGCATCTAAAAGTGACTTACTCTGTCTGTTCCCATAACAGATGCAAGCTCCCCTGATAATATACATGGCTTGCTGTAAATGGATACTCGAGCTGTTAAAAAAAAAAAAAAAAAAAAATGTTGAAAAGCACTTTTTGTAATAACTCAGTAAATTCAACTTGCTTGAACAACAAAAAGATTTCTCTTAACACTGAAATATTTTGAATAAAATCATAATCATTTTTTTTTTTTAGATATAGACAAAAATATCCTTATTTCTTAGTCTTGTAACTTTATCACAGAATATCATAGCTGTATCTTAAAATATCAATCCTTTTTAAACATGATTAAATGAAAGCAAAGCACATAATCTAGTCACATGACTTAGATATACCAAAAAATTACATGGCTTTGATCATGAAAATGCAAACAAAGCATTTAGTCATAAGACAAAAATGTCAAGTGGTGTATGTAAAAAAATTTCTGCCTTTTCTGTGGAAACAGATGAAATTTATTTTTTAGTTTGAAGAAACTTCATTACTTGTTCAACTTCTTTCCATACTACATTTAAAAGTGAGAATAACAGAAGTTCAAGTTATGACTTTTTGACATTTCTATCACTAAAATAGAACAGTGGCCATTAAAGCTTAGAAATTTTATACATTAAGTTATTATAAGTTTTCAATACTGACATAATTTAAAATAGTTTAATATTAAAGTTAACCAAAAATATTTTGCACGCATTACATTTTAGTCAAAGTTCAATGGCCAAAATGAGGATATGTTGTACATTATTTAACAGTTACAATCTGAGCACAATTTATTTACTGCTTTCCATACTACAACAGCTGTTATTTTCTCAATAGAAAAGAAAAAAAAGTGTATCCCCATATTCCTCCACTTGCACCAATTTTCATCTAATTATTATTCAATTTGTTTTACAGAAGCAAGTATACAAAAATAAACAGGCTGACCTTTGCCCTCCTTTGTCTTCCTTTCCTTTTTTGGAGGAGCCTAGAAAAAAAATCATAAAACCATGAAATTAAGTTTCATCATTGCTACGTTGTTTTTTTTTTTTTTTTTTTTTACTCTTGCACAAAAGTTTACTTGATTTTTTTTTTAATCTAGTATAGTTTAATTTCATTATAAATTAATGTTATACAATGTAAAATTGGAAGGCTAAAATAAAAATAAAATTTAAATTTCTAAACAAAAACAAAATAAAAGTTCCTAAAACTGAGTAAATTATGCAAGATATTCAAGAACTATTTTCTTAATTGTAAATGATAAACATTTAATGGAGCAGACATTACTAATTATTATTCATCCTGGACATATATCTAATGTCTCAGCTGCAAAAATTTAATTCTTGGCAAAGTTAATTTTTAAGGAATCTGGTTACAAATCTTGGTTGGTTTTAATTAGGCCAATTGGCTTTTTAGAGTAAGTTTTACCATCCCACTTGTTTAGTTGGCAGTTGACATCGGAACTTATACCAAATCACTACTTAATATGAATTCTTTCATATTTTATGTTATTTTTCCTTCTCTTTACAGGTTAATAGCAGTAGAAAGGCTCACCTCTCATCCTGCCCACACTCCTATGTCTATTGAACAAGAGTAGAGGCCAGATAATATCGAGGTATCTGTAGTGTCATGTCACACATGGGTAAGCGTCCCTGCATGTATTTCCAGCAGACAACCCTGAGGCCATATTATGCTTTGTTCTCTGGCTGGTTTGTATTGCAATTGATAACGGTGACAATTATAGTGGTCTTTCTTCTCTCTCTCTTTAAAATGAATATCATGGAAAAAAAAAAAAAAAAATACAACTAAACCGGTAAACAACTCCCCCCACCCCAACCTTTCTTTCTCCAGTATTTGTGGTATCCATTCCAACTTTTACAGCTTAGAATCTTTTCTCTCAGAACAGTTACCAGATATCTTTGCCCTTTGTGAAACCAACTTAAATTCTTCTATTGCTACCAATGAATTCTTGGTTCCAGGCTATCTTCCCCTCTGCCAAAAGAGATTCCAGCATTCACATGCATGACCTTGAGGTCTACATCCAAGATAATCTTCTAATGTCCAAGGAATTGTCTCTCAAGGCCCATGACTACTCTTTCATGTGCTTCCATCTGTCATTACTGTTAGATATCTCTTTCATTTACTGCTCTACCTCCTCCAAAGACTGCAATATATTGGACATAATAATTGACAGTATAGAAAAGGCAAGTTTGCTTCATCCATCTGAAAACGTGTCTTCAGGGACTTTAATGCTCACCATGACACATTGCTGAAATATTCTAAAAAGGTACTGATATTGTCAATATTCAGACATTAAATGTTTTCATTGCCCAATCCTTTACTCCATGGACTTCCCTACTTGTTTCTCCCCTCACAAAACTGAGCAACAGGCATCTCTACTTGATTTATTTCTCACCTCCTTTCCTCACTCTTGCTGAGCTCTTGGTAACTCAGACCACTCTGTGATATCCATTGATATTTCATTCCAATCATCCATTAAACAGGAGTGCCCTATCCATAAGACCTCTTTTCATTAGCAGCATGCTGATTGGGACTCACTCCATTATTTTCTTTGTGATGCCCCTCTCACTGACATCTTTAACCTCCCAACTGAAAATTGCACCACTAAAGTTTCTTCCTGGATCAAAGCCAGCATGGATGCTTTCATCCCTTCTTGGAAATACCAAGTGAAACCTCAATCCTTTCCATGGTTCACACCAGCATGCTCAGCCACTATAGCACACAGGAACTACTATTTTCTGCTATACTAGCATGACAGCTTGTCACAACAGACGCCTATTCATTACTGCTCGTAATAAATGCGAGTCCTCAAAGGAACTAAGTCCCTGTTTGCTGAGAGAATGAGGGACTGCGTACCCTCCAACAACTTTGGCTATCATGATTACTGGCAACTCTAATAGGGTATTAAATAATTGCAACGTCTCTATTCCTCCCTTCTTCAATTGATTTGAGGTGTTATCATCCACTGCTTATAAAGCTGAATGCTTTGCCTGTAAATTTTTGAACTCTACCCTTGACTTATCTGGAGTATCCCTGCCTAACTTCCCACTTAGAACTGAGTCCTTATTGAGTGATACGCATATAACCCCTTCCCTTTTTACTATCATCAATCTAAATCCCCACAAAGCATGTGGACCTGATGGTATCCCTGTAATAGTCTTTAAGAAGTGCTTATGAACTGGCCCCTGTACTCTCTAAACTTTATAATAAATGTCTTGCTGCCTCCTGCTTTCTCATCTGCTTGAGGTTATCGTCTGTTGTGCCAGTTTTTAAGAACTTACTGAACCGTCCAACCGTTTCAACTATCAGTCTATTGGCCTTCTACCAATTTTGGGGAAACTCCTAGAGGCCCTAATCGATGCTGAATTGGTTCAGCATCTCTCATCACAGGACCTTTTCTCAGACAAGCAATATGGCTTTTGTTTCTCCAGGTCAACTGCTGATGTACGGACAATAATTGCGGATCATGCCCTAGATAAAAACAGTGAAGCCTGGGTTGTAGTAGCTTTGGACATCTTGAAAGCTTTTGACAAGTTTTGGCATACAGGTCTTCTCCACAAGATGAAAAATTACAGTGTTTCCAGACACATTTTTGAACTGATCCAGTCTTTCCTATCAAATCGCGAAATGAAAGATATCCTAGACATTCACTCGTCTACATCCTTTCATATCCCCCAGGATTCTATCCTTGATCCTACCGTTTTTAATTTTCATTAATGACCTTCCTGATGACACAACCATTTACTATTACCTCGATAGACAAGGTCAAAACGGCAGGTGATGTCCAAAACGACCACCCAGTCCATTGTTAACTGGAGCAAAAGATGGCTTGTTAATTTTAACGCCTTCAAAATTAAACTTCTCTCCATTAATCATCTGAAAGATTCCTCTCTGAATAACTGATGCTAACTACCAGAAGAATGATTCATTTTGCCTTCTTGGGCTAACATTCTCAGCTGACATGAAGTAGAGAGATTATTGAATCCATTGTTAGGCCAGCTGCCAAGAAAGTCGGTTCACTGTGTCATGCAACATAATTTTTCTCCCCAGAATCTATCTTACATATCTATGTTGACAATTCGTCCATGCTTAGAATATTGCTACCACATATGGGCTCCTTGATAACATCCAAAAAAGAATCAGCAATATTATTGGTCCTGATCTAGCAGCTCAGCTTCAGTCACTTTTCCACTGCCATAAAGTTGCCTGTGCATTTTCTATAAATACTCTCATGGTCGTTGTTCGGATGAATTCTTTGCTATGGCACCTTTGTAGTGAGAGTTTGTTTTTTTTTTTTTTTTTTTTTTTTTTTCAGACAATTTACAACCGGTAGTTCATTGCCAGATATGTTTTTGCCAATCTCCATGAACTGTTTTTTTGAGTATACTACACTTCACTTATGTTGAGTTTACTTATTTTACTTTTTCTTACTTTTATTATTGATTGGTTTTTCTCAAAAGTTTGATTTTTCTTTTTGCCCTCCCACAGGTTTTATTTTATTCTTTTTGCACCTATTCTTTTAAGTTTTTGATTTTCTTTTATTTTAAACATTATTTTTGTTTACCTATTATTTCTACATGTCACTTTATTCTTGTTCTGAGTAAATATTTGCTAAATCTTCTTTTTATTTTCTTATTCAACTTCTTGTGTTTATTTTGTTTAATCTGTTTGTTTTTTCTTAATTTTATTTTTGCGTTCTTTGGTAAGACTTGTTTTTTGTGTTATGTTTGTTTTGGTCGGCCATTTTATTTTGGTAAGACTTGTTTTTTTGTGTAACAGTTCTAAGTTTTGTAGCATTTTGTTTCATTTAAAAAAAAAAAAAAAAAAAAAAAGAAAAAAAACAAAAAAACTTTATTATATTTTTTTCTTTTAAAAGTCTTTCTTTCTCGTCTGTCTTTGTAATTTTTCTTTTTAAGTAACAATCTTTGCACGTCTAACTGTATTTTGTGTGTATTTCCTTATTTTCGTTTGAAGGAAATTTGTGATTTACTTGTTTAAACTGTTTAATTGTTATCCGACTTAACTTTAATTTAAAAGTAAGATGGTTGGAAAAAAAAAAAAAAATATGACGCCAACTTAGATAAGAATGAAAAATATTTAGATAAAAAGATGGATGCCGAAAAGGACCAGATTTTGGAAGATTTTGTCCAAAATGAGGAATCCAGTAAAAGTATGGTGGCCAGAAAAGGCCAAAATTTGATGAAAACCAAGGATTGGGATAAACATATGAAAGGGTCAAAATTTAGTAAAACAGATCAAAAAATCTGATAACAAGAACAAAGACAAGAATGTAGTGGTTGGGTAGACACCCTCCTGCTGGAAGTCCCCTACCAAAATGCATAATCAACATGAAGTCCTGTGAGAAAGCCAAGAGCGACACATCTTGTGACAGAAGATAGGATCCGGAGAAATTACAGAAAGTTGAGAAGAAAATTGTGTTTGTGCTGGACAAGCATTTGCGCAAAATTTGCCACTCCACAAAAAACACTGTTATAAAATCTTTGATGTCTCTGGGAGTCAAACCTCAGAGTCATAAAAGGGAAAGGATTATGTGGGACGTACTGTTACACACACCTGCCAACTGTGAAGCTGCAACAAGTCTGTGACCTTATCACAAAAAGACCTCATTCTGAGAAGAGAATATGAAGGCAAGTGTAGGACCATTATCGGTATATGAGGTCCCTCCTCAGATTGTCAGGGAGCAGTTGGCCACCTATCTGTGCCAATTCGGAGTTAGTGCTTCCTTTGACAAATGATAGATCAGAAGGCCTTCATCTCCATCCCCAATTGTCTGGATGCAGAGGACCAGAAAATGCCAATAATTGTAAATGGCCATAGACCAACTTGCTGGAAGAGTGGACAGACTGGTCACTTCTCTTCCTGCCCAGAGAAGAAGGCCATTCTAGCCCCCACCAACTCAAATCCCGCTTTGGCCAAGTCTATTATTTCCATCTTACCTGTAATAGG